CCCCCTACAGCCGGCCCCCGTACACTGTGGGTACGGCCCCAGGTGCACCCGCCCCCCCCCGGTCGTCCAGCAGCCCCACGCAGGGCCCCGCTGCAGCACCCACGGAGGGGTGCAGCTGCCCCGGCCCGGGAGACTTTGCACCCTGGGACTCGGAGTGGGGCCTTTGCTCCCCCGCCGTATCGCGATGCAGACCCCAGAAGGGGCCTGAGCCCCCCACGGGGGCTGCTGACACCAGTGGGTGCGACGTGGACAAAGGGCCGGTGCCCACACCCCTCTGATAGACCGGCGTGAGCCACGCTCCGTACCGACTCGCTTTCGGCAGAGCATCTGGCTCTCGCCTCCCTGTTTGTTCTAGGTTTCCCCTAGTCCTGAGCTTTACTGAAGCCATGCTTAGGCTCCGCTTACTAACGTGGGACGTGAAGGACACGCTGCTGCGGCTGCGGCAGCCGGTGGGGGAGAGTTACGCGGCCGAGGCCCGGGCTCACGGGGTCCGGGTGCAGCCGGAGGCTCTCGGTCAGTCTTTCCGGGAGGCGTACGGAGCCCAGAGCCGGCGCTTCCCCAACTACGGCCGGGGCCGGGGGCTGAGCTCCCAGCAGTGGTGGGTCGACGTTGTGAAGCAGACCTTCAGGCTCTCGGGCGTGCACGAAGACGGAGTCCTGACGCTGATGGCGGAAAACCTCTACCGCGACTTCTGCAGTGCCCGCAACTGGGAGGTGCTGCCGGGAGCTGGCGAGACCCTGAGCCGGTGCCGCCAGCGTGGCTTCCGCATGGGGGTGGTCTCCAACTTTGATAACCGGCTGGAAAACGTCCTCTCCCAGTGCAACCTGCGGCACCACTTTGAATTCGTCCTCACCTCTGAGGACGTGGGCTTCGCCAAGCCGGACAGGAGGATCTTCGAGGAAGCCCTGCGCCTCGGCGGGGTCCCCCCGGAGCAGGCGGCTCACGTGGGGGATGACTATGCCCGGGATTACAGGGCAGCCCGAGCCGTGGGCATGCACGGCTTTCTGCTCCGGGCTGCCGGGCAGGGCAAGGAGCCGGGGGTGCCCCCCGAGCACATCCTGCCCACGCTCAGCCACCTCCTGGCTCTTATTGAGAAGGGGTAGCTGCGTTTCAGAGGAGGACCAGCGCTGCTGCTGAGCAGTGAACCGGTCCTGGCGTGGGATTTCTTGCTGCTGGTTGGGCAGGGAAAAGAAGCGAGTGCTTCTGAGCGCAGGGAGCAGCGCTGCTTGCGGAGCAGGAGGGGTTTTAATGCAATAAAATGTATCCGACGCTCAGCATTGCTGCCAATTTCTTTCATAGCTTTAAAAACACGATGGAAGAGGACTGGCGGTGGTGTCTTCTCCTAATGGAGCTGGGGACTGGGTCAAGCTGCGCTCCAAGAAGGCTCATTCTGGCAGGAGGGATGGAGGCGGACATTGAGGTTTGTCCCTTCTCGGTCACCCCGGGGAGAGGCTCGAGCATCCCCCTGTGCAAGCGCATCAGCAGAGCTGGGGTTGGTCCCGTCCCAGGGAAGGTCTGCCCGCACAGAGCACTCAGGAGACCCGCGCACAGGCCCCGCATGCCTCGGTGTACCCCAGGTTTGCCACCTCACCAGCATCCCCCTCTTCCTGGCAGCGGTGGCCAGAGGCAGTTGCAGGCCTCCTGCTGTGGGCAAAACAGTCTGGAGCTGGGCAGTTTCACTTAATATAGTGCCAGTTAGCAAGCTTTACTGATTTGGGTATTGAGAAATAAAGATGACAAATTCTAAACAGTTAGGGAAACACCTTTCCTGCCTTTCTCCCTGGCTCAACTTCAGTCCAACACCTCTCCTTCCTCCCTGCCTAACATCAGCTCCCTGTTTTCACCACGTTACACTCGACCTCCCGCTCCCTTTGGCAAGGCAAGGAGCAGCTCAGGTTAGGTTTCTTTCTGCTGCTTCTTGCTCCTCTGCTCTCTCATGGGCTCCTCCGTGGGCCACAGCCCCTCAGGGTTGCCCCTGCCCTGGCGTGGGTCCCCCACAGGGTCACAGGTGACAGCCCCTCGCACTGTCCCTGCTCTGGCATAGGGTGGTTCCTCCCAAAAGTGTGCCTCCAGCTGTGTCCCAGTGATGTCCCCTTCCACGTGCCTCCTCCCTGCCGTTTCTCCAAACACATCTCTTAATATTTCTCCTGTTTTCTAAAGCCCACCGTCAGGCTGGAAAGCTGCCCTTGGTAGGAGAGGAATTAAATGATTCACCTAAAAGCAGCTGGCAGAGCCAGGTGTTACCCTGGCCCCTGGCCCCGGCTCGGCTCCAGCTGTGTCCCAGTGATGTCCCCTTCCACGTGCCTCCTCCCTGCCGTTTCTCCAAACACATCTCTTAATATTTCTCCTGTTTTCTAAAGCCCACCGTCAGGCTGGAAAGCTGCCCTTGGTAGGAGAGGAATTAAATGATTCACCTAAAAGCAGCTGGCAGAGCCAGGTGTTACCCTGGCCCCTGGCCCCGGCTCGGCAGACGCAGGGTGGGTGTAGCCTCCAGGAGGGGGAAGCTGCCGTAAAACCGAGATGCCGTAAAACACGTGAAGAACAGGTGTAGTCTGAAGGCAGGTCTTGTCTGAACACCACCGTACACAAGCCAGTAGCCCTGTCTGGGCTCCTTCCCCCCCCATAAAGGTACTGTATAGTGTATATACAGTCACTGTATATACAATTGTATATTCACCCCCCGCAGCGAGCGCAACGCTTCGCTCACTGGACAAGCGAGATGCTCTGGTGCGCCACAGCAAAGACGGGATAGAGGGGCTCCGCGAAGGTCTCCCTGTGGGAGAAGAGGATGGTGCAGGAATCGGGGTCGTAAAAGAGCACCTCCCCTCCCGCAAAGTCAACCAGCACCCCGATCTCGGCCGGAGACTTGATCAGCTCCACCGCCTGCGGGTGACCGGCGTGCAGGAACCTGAACTCCTTGTCGTAGCGCGAGAAGACCCAGGAAGCGGTGTTGAAGCCCAGGCGGGCTTCGTTGCCAGACCCCTTCCGCGGCAGGGAGCTGTAGCAAACCCCCAGCTTGTAGGCGCAGCTCTTCTCCACGCTGATCTTCCACGCGCAGACTCCTGAGCGGAAAGCCGCAGTGGCCAAAGCATTGGGCCAGTGGTCAAATCGCTCAAGGCAGTCCAAGTCCACCTTTGCTTTCTTGGGGCTGAAGGTCAGGGTTTTCCTGTCTTCTGACAGGCTGAGGTTGGGGCTGACAGTTTTCTCATCGATGTGAATCTCCTGTGAGCCTGCAAGAGAAGCCACACGGTGAGCGCCGGCTCAGTGGCCCCTGCCTGAACTGCCTGAAGAAGTCACAGCCATCAGAGACACAGTCTGCTCCCCCGGGGTGACAGCGTGCTGGGGGCTCGGGCTAGGTGCCAGCACAGCAGCTCCCCGCAGCCTCCTCTCTCAAGCCAGGGCCAGAACAATGCAGAGACTCATCAAAGCCCAGATTTCCCCAGACGCCTCTCCACCCTTGCGCTGGAAGTCCTGCAGAGTCAGAGAAGGCGCTGCTCATCTTACTCTGACCCTGGCCCAAATCCCCACGAAACAGAACTCGGCAGGTTCGGTTCATCCCGCTTTTGGGAGAGACCCAAATCTGAGCCCCGTCCCTTCCCACTCCCACTGCGGGTGAGGAGGACCCGACTTCTCCCCCCAGCCAGGGCGAGTCAAGAGCCTGCGCAAGGACGGCAGGGCTGTTTGCAGAAAACCTGCAAAGCCGGTAATACGGGAACGAGGAGGAACGGGGAGGGCTGGGCAGGGGAAACCCCTTTCCTCCTATACAGCCCAAGTCATTAATCAACCCACCCCGAGCCCTTTTGGAGCAGCCGCGGGAGGTGGCACCAGGCATTAGAGGTGAGCACGGCCATGCCCCGATTTGGTTTTGCTGTGAATTAAGGGGCTGCCCAGCTGCCCTCGTGCCACAGCACAAACCCAGCGAGCTGCAGCCCGGGGTGAGAGCCAGGCTGGCCCGGAGGACGCCTGCACCCGCCCGGGGTCTGCTCCACTGCAGACCCGTGGGCTGACAGCACCCAGCACCGCTCGCCCTGCCCTGGCTGCACGCTCCCCCCGCGAGACCCCTCAGCGGGTCTGCAGACCCGGTGCGAGTGCTGAGTAACTGCACAAGTGTTTCCCTCTCTCTGTAAGTCCGCTGGGCAAAGAGACGAGGCTGATGCCCAGCTGACTCACCCGCTCCCGGGGAGACCGAGTTTCTACCTGCGGGTGCCCCTCCTCGCCCTGCCTTCCCCCACCTTCACTTCATTCATTTCAGGTCTTAAACCGCCATGGGAACAAGGCTGGAGCAGGTGAGTCATTTGCTCTCCCAGCCCTGCCGCCAGCAAGAGCTCTACCATATCACGTCTGCTCCGGCCATTTCCCAACCACCCTCTGCTCAGCATCCAGCACGTGGCAGGATGAGGCCCTTAAAGAATCAAACCATTACGCTGCACCCTGAACGGGGTCGTCCCAGAACCCGACCTGCTCCACAGCACCTACGCGGACGCAGGTCAGCATCCCTCCGACCAGCACCGACCAGCAGCAGCAGCGCTGGTCGAGGGGTTTCCTAGGGCTGCACCTGCCCTGGTGCTCCCTGGGAGGAGACGAACCGAGGCCGAATTATCAGTTTGCACAACGTGGAAGTGCCACGCACGCTTGCACATTAGGTGGAAGCTATCGTGGGCAACAGCGAGCAGAAAGAGGAGCTGAAGACAGCATCCCCTTCCAGCTGAAGCCGACAACCTCATTCGTTTGATGATTTATTTCACTGAGCAGCAGCCAAATGCTTTGCAGCGAGCCTGCCCGCCACGCTGTGCCCTCCGTAGGTCTCCACAGCTGTATTTGCCCATGCTGCCTATTTGTAGGTTGACTTTCCAGGAAGCCAAACACTGCTATGAATTCATAGAAAATGGAGCAGTACGAGACTTTATCTTCCTCTGACAGAAGGAGGGCACTAAACCTCATATGGTGCAACACATATCTAACCTAGGTACAGGGTTGCATTCTGGTGTTCATGTACAGGGATCATCTGCACGAGGAAATACCGCCCCGATGACACCCACGTAGCTTCGTTCTGGAATTATGATTCCAGGGGAGCACCTGAGAGAGGGGAAGTGCTGGCAGAGTAACAGCAGAGTAATTCAGATCAGCAAATTTTCCCACACAGACAAGTGTTTTGTCACGATTAAATCTGCCCTCCGGATATTCCCATACATTCTGATGAACAATTCCACCGGGAATTCATCTCACCCCCAAATCTATTTTCTCTGGGTACAGAACCCATCAGAGTGGCCTTGCCACTTTAGAGAGACGAGGGATGCTGAGCAGGTAAGTAAGTGAAGATGGTTGACATCTCTGTCAAGTAGGTATGTGCTAGCTGCAGCACATTTACTACTTTTAAAAATCCAAGTTCATAGAATCATAGAATCATGAAGGTTGGAAAAGACCTCTAAGATCATCGAGTCCAACTGTTGACCCAACACCACCATGCCCACTAAACCATGTCCCTAAGCGCCTCATCTACACGTCTTTTAAATACCTCCAGGGATGGGGACTCAACCACTTCCCTGGGCAGCCTGGTCCAATGTTTAACCACTCTTTCAGTAAAGAATTTTTTCCATTTCCCATTTCCAAACTCACACACCTGAAATTAAAATCCTCGGACCTAGACTTAGGCACCAAGGTGGAATCCAGACCCAGCCTGGTCCCTGGGGCAGAAGGTCACCATGTGGCAGCCCAACGTCTCAGCCAGCTGGGATGGCTTCAGTCTGTGTCACCTCTGCAGAGGGTCCTCCGTCAGGTCTCCAGCCAGCCTCACCGCTTACCTGCCCCCCAGCAGGACTGATGCGGGTGGCCATGAACCAAGATCCCTCCCAGAACGGTGCCAGGAGATTTACATCATCTCTTGGTTTAAGGAAGAAGCTGCCAACCCCAAACGTAAGCGAAACAGAAGCCTGGATGCCAAGTAAAGACATCAAAGGAATCACGTTTATTTTTGAGAGCGAAATGGAGGTTCTTTCACCTTCTGGTTTCCAAGTTTTTGAGAGGCAACAGGGGCAAACCGGCAAGGCTAGGAATTTACTTTTTTCAAGCAAATAAACAAGACTGCTATCTGTTCAACTGCCTTTGGGAGGAGGGACCACCAAGTGAAACATAACATTACTGTGTCTTAACGAAAGCTAGGACCACTGCAGTTAATATTAAATCTCTAAGGCTAGGTCCTGGGTGGACTATGGACTAGTGAGATAAGCAAGGTTATGGCGGGCAGCCTCAGCATGCAATAACGACACGTTAAATG